TTCTCTCTCTCCAGCCAGGGGCTGCGGCCAGCTGTTTCAGGGAGGAAGTAACTCCAAAGTTGAGCAAAGTCTGGAGCCTCAGGTTTTGTGTCCAGCTGGGAAGCTGGCTCTGGCTTTCTTAGTCCTGTGTGAACTCTTGGCTCTTGGGTATTGCTCCCTTGTCTCCCTGGGGCTCATTGCCTGTTTCTGTAGCTTAATTGTAGCTTAATTTGGGGAGCACGGCCCCGGGATTTTTTTTTTTTTTTTTAATAGAGCCTCACTTTGTTGCCCAGGCTAGAGTGGTGCAATCTCGGCTCACTTCAACCTTCGCCTCCTGGGTTCAAATGATTCTCTTGCCTCAGCCTCCTGAGTAGCTGGGATTACAGTGTGCACCACCACACCTGGCTAATTTTTGTATTTTCAGTAGAGATGAAGTTTTGCCATGTTGGCCAGGCTGGTCTCGAACTCCTGACCTCAGGTGATCCACCCACCTTGGCCTCTCAAAGTGCTGGGATTACAGACTTGAGTCACCATGCCTGGACAAGCACTAGGAAATTTAGTGTCTATAACTCGAATTGCTGGGCATGGGGAAGAGTGCATGGAGGAGGAGGAGTTCCCTTACTTCCAACCCTCTGTACTGTCCTGGTCCCTCCTCCAGCCTCAGCAGTCCCGATGGGGCAAGGAGTCCTGGAGCTGGGAGATGTGCCCACCTGGAGCCTGCATCCCTCAGTCCCAGGATCTGCCCTCCCAAGGGCAGATTGGGAGGGCAGATTGTGCTGCCAGTGTTGTACCCCTGGGTGTAAGCAGGTGTCAAGGACCCCTCAGTGTGCATGACAGTGCAGGGGTAAGAAGAAAAAGGGGACCCCTAGTCATATCTAGGTGGAGACCTCCTAGGATCCTGAGAATTCTAAATTTCAACCTGGCCTTCCAGATTTTTAGGAAGGTACATTTGTCAAGGTAGGCAAGATAGAGCAATTTTTTTTTTTTTTTTTTTTTTTGATGGAGTCTTGCTCTGTTGCCCAGGCTGGAGTGCATTGGTGTGATCTTGGCTCACTGCAACCTCCGCCTCCCAGGTTCAAGTGATCCTCCTGCTTCAGCCTCCCAAGCGCCCACCACTATGCCTGGTTAATTTTTTTGTATTTTTAGTAGAGAGGGGGTTTCACAATGTTGGCCAGGCTGGTCATGAACTCCTGACCTCAGGAGATCCATCTGCCTCAGCCTCCCAAAGTGCTGGGATTATAGGTGTGAGCCACTGTGCCCGGCCAGAGCATATTTTATTTAGCAGTTTGCTACCCCAGCTTATAGTGTCACTATTAAGATGTATGGCTTGAGCTGGGCATGGTGGCATGTGCCTATAGTCCCAGCACTAGGGTGGCTGAAGTGGGAGGATTGCTTGAGCCCTGGAGATGGAGGCTACAGTAAGCCAAGATTGTGCCACTGCACTCCAGTCTGCACTGGGCGACAGAGCGAGATCCTGTCTCAAAAAACCAACAAACAAGGCCAGGCGCCGTGGCTCATGCCTGTAATCCCAACACTTTGGGAGGCCAAAGCAGGTGGATCACCTGAGGTCAAGAGTTCAAGATCAGCCTGGCCAACATGGTGAAACCCCATCTCTACTAAAGATACAAAAATTAGCTGGACATGGTGGTGCACGCCTGTAATCCCAGCTGCTCAGGAGGCTGAGGCAGGAGAATCGCTTGAACCCGGAAGGTGGAGGTTGCAGTGAACTGAGATTGCGCCACTGCATTCTAGCCTGGGCAGCAGAGTGAAACTCTGTCTCAAGAAAACAAAAACAAACAAACAAACAAACAGATGTCTGGCTTGTAGGCCGGGCACAGTGGCTCACACCTGTAATCCCACCCCAGGAGGGCGGATTACTTGAGGTCAGGAGTTCAAGACCAGCCTGGGCAACATGTGAAATCTCATCTCTACTAAAAATACAAAAGTTAGCTGGGTGTGGTGGTGGGCACCTGTAATCCCAGCTAGTCAGGAGGCTGAGGCAGGAGAATCACTTGAACCCAGGAGGTGGAGGCTGCACTGAGCCAAGATCGAACCACTGCCTGGGCAACAGAGCAAGACTCCATCTCAAAAAAACAAAAACAAGAAAGTTTGGCCTGTGGGTTGTACTTGTACTTATACTCTTGTTCCAGTGGGAGGAGCCACTGGGTCACTCACTCTGCCTTTTCCTCAACAGTCTGAGCACTTCAAGACGACATCGCAGAAGGTGGCTCGGAAATTCTGGTGGAAGAATGTGAAGATGATTGTCCTTATCTGCGTGATTGTTTTTATCATCATTCTCTTCATTGTGCTCTTGGCCACTGGTGCCTTCTCTTAAGTAATAGGGAACCTCTCCCACCTGCCCTTCTCTTCACGGACAACCCTCCGTAAATGGATGCCAAGAGGGTCTCCTTTCCTGTCCTCCTCTACAGAGAATGCTGCTCGGTCCTCCTACCCCTCTTCCCGAGGCCCTGCTGCCGTGTTGTATGCCCCAGAGGGTAACTTGGTCCCCCAGAAGGAGAGAAAAAAGAGAGCTGGACTGCGGATGCATTTCATGGGTCCTTAGAGTGGGCTGGAGAGACCTAGAGGGCCCAGCATGTGGCTGGGAAACTGCTGGTGGCCAGTGGGTAATAAAGACCTTTCAGTATCCCTATATGTGTGAGTCACTTTCTCTCTTCCCATTTTGCCTTTGGCTTTTCTATTTCTTTTCTTCCCAAGGATACCTTCTGGCTGAAATTCTCTCGTTTGAGGTCCAAGTGGTTTGAAGGGCAAAGAGTGTATGTTTGGAGAAGAAAGATGTCTTTCTTTATTCCTCCCGGTTCCATTCATTGTCACAGGTCTCAAGAACAAGAATTTTCTGGGAGTCTTGGCATATGGAAAATTCAATACCTTCATAGCATTTTGGGGTGGTACGCAAGATTTTTAAGTGTTCCCATTGGGTCCTGCCATGGCCCTGTAGTACTGTTCTTCTGGAATTGTTAGCTGAGGCATGAAGCCTACCCGGACAGGGCGTTTAAGAGCTGCTTGAAGGCCTCCTGCCTCTTCCACCAGAGCCATCTCTCTTCAACGACCGTGTAGTCTAGAGCCGAGGGGTGGAGGAAATGGACTGCTATTCCTTTCCTTGTGCTTTGCATGTTCTATTTGTCTTTTCTCTGTCCTTGTCTTCTGGGACTTGGCAAGGCCTCTGGGTCTTAGTTATCCCAAGGGGGCAAGCATCTCTCCTCGGCATCCCATGGCTGGGCATAGTCAGTCAGTGTCACAGGACAGGGCCAATGGCCCTCCTTCCCCTCCGTGCACAATGAGCCTTTCTGTCTTCAGGCCCCCCTCCTCCCTACCAGGTTCCACTATCACTGTTACTTTTTCCAGTGCCCAGTCTGCCTTGGTTTGCAGGGAGGGTTCTTGCTATCTCTGTTCCTGTTTCCTCTACAGGTTTTCCAGCATTGGAAACAACCTATTGTCAGGAGGAAGGGGAAGGGTTGAGAGTCAGGATTTGGGACTAGATTGGCAAGTCAGGCTCTGGAAGAATCAGGCTCTGAAGCAGGGAGGAGGAAAGGTCAGAAAAGACCCTTTTGAGATTTTTATTTTTATTTTTTCAGGGATAGGATCTTACTCTGTTGCCCAGGTTGGAGTGCAGTGGTGTGATCATGGCTCACTGTAACCTCCACCTCCTGCGCTTTAGAGATCTTCCTGCTTCAGCCTCCCTTGTAGCTGGGACCACAGGTGTGTGCTACCACACCTGGCTAATTTTTGTATTTTTAGTAGAGACATGGTCTCACTATGTTGCCCAGGCTGGTCTCAAACTCCTGGGTTCAAGCAATCCTACTGCCTTGGCCTCCCAAAGTGCTGGAATTACAAGTGGGAGCCACCGTGCCCAGCCTTGGGGTAGTCTTTGCTACATATATTAATCCTTTCTCTCCTGGATTCAAGGTGTAAGGAACTGAAGTGAAGCTTCTGCCTTGGGACCCAGGCTGTCCAAGGTGGGGGTGAGGGTCTGTGAAACCCTCTTGGTCTGGGACTTCTGTATTCACAGAGGCTTAGCTCCAGAGAGGGAAACTTTCAACCCTGTTGGTCAAGAGAGACCTTATTTGAGGGACTAGGCCCAGTGGCTCACACTTGTAATCCCAACACTTTGGAACCCTGAGGCAGAAGAACTGCTTGAGGCCAGGAGTTCGAGACCAGCCTGGTCAACATAGTGAGACCCTGTCTCTCTCTCTCTTAAAAAAAAAAAAAAAGAGGGACCTTATTTTAAGATGTCTGAGGCAGCTTGGAGTAGTGGAGAACAGGTAGCTGGTGGTTTCTCTGCAGCAGTGAGAGGAGAGGATGGGTAGATTCGGCTCAGGAAGGCTCTGAAGTGGTAGCAGACACACCACCCTCCCCCATCTTCTGACTGAGGAGCAGGTGCATGGCAGGTGCATGCCAGCAAAGAGCTGCACTTGCCCTCATGGTGAGGAGAGACATACAGAAAGGCTAGAGCTAGTACTTTGCCCATGTGAGGCTGCTTTCTTTTTGAATAGAGGCGAAAGTCACATAACATACAGTTTATTATTTTAAAGTGTACAAATCAGAAACATGTATTCAGAATGTTGTGCAACCACCACTTGTCTTTAGTTTCAAAACTTTGGGGGGGCCTGTTTTTGATTCTGGGTGAGATGCACTCACCAAGGTGACAAAGACCCTACCTGGCTTGTTCATGGCGTCTCCAGGACCTAGCCTGGTGCCTGACCGTGACACTCATAGGGTGTTTGTTGAGTGAATGAATGATGCCTCTTCAGCTAAACCCGACCGAGGAGACTCCAGGGCTCACTCCACTGTGCCCATTTCACAGATCCGGCCCCGAGGTGTGCCCGTTCACCAGGCTGAGGTGTCACTCGAATTCAGGCTCCTGGGGCCCGGGAGGAGGCCACTCTACGGACCCGGGTCGCTGTGGCCCATCGCTTTCGATTTGACTCAGTTTCGGTCGCCACTCGCGGAAGGCGCGCCCCCCGCCCTCTCTCGGCGGCCCGCCCCGCCCCGCCCCTGCGCTTCCTCCGGGACCGCTGGCACTGCGGCCGCTCAGCCGGCAGAGAAGCCGGGAGCAGGCGAGGCGTCGGCGGCAGCGGCGATGGTGAGGGCCCGGGCGGGGCCGGCCAGCCCTGCGACGGGCAGAGGGCGAGTGGCGAGGGTGGGAGAAAGGAGTCCGAAGTCCACGGGCCGGGGCGTACCCTAGGGCCCATGCGGGTCAGACCTGAGGCGGTGACCACGGCCGGAGCAGGATGGGGCGGACCCTCCACTCCCCGCGGGCTGCCTGGGAGGGAAACGCTTGAGCCCCGTCCTGGCTGCACCGCGCAGAGCGAGCGGGGCCCGGGCTCCCCATTCTCCTGAAGCGAAGCGGTTAGGAACACCGACTTTGGAGGACTCCGGGCTGGGATCCCAGCTCTGTGACCCGGGGCGAGTCACTTAACCTCCCTGAGCCTCCTTTTCCGCATCTGTGAAGTGGGGTCAGTAATACCTGCCTTGTTGGGTCCTTGCGAGGTTAAAGGAGACACAATGGCAGAGACCCGCCTGGCACTCAGAACCCACTGCTAAGAAGTAGTAGGAAATGTAATGACCTCGTCAGCCCTTTCCGCAGCTGTGAGGAGCCAAGCCTGGCTCAGGAGTTGGAAACTTGAGCAGATGGGGTGGCAGAGGCCATTCCAGCCCCATGGCAGGGTGTTGGAGGCCTAACTCCTCCCCTAGAGAAAGAGAAAGGGAGATGTTTACTCTGAAAGTTCCACTGAAGTTATCAGAGTGTGGCACAGGCCTGACTCCCTGCTAACCTCTACCTAGTGACACATTCCTGAGTTGAGTCACCCCCCACTCCTGCTGCATATCCTGGCCTCTGTCCTCACTTGCCATCTCCAAGGCGAAGATGTCAGGAACAGCTGGTGCCAGTTTCCCTCTTTCCCTAGGGCTCCTGGGAAGATGGACTGGGCAGGAAGTAGGCTTGGTGCTTTAAGATTTTGCCTTGGAGAAACTGACAGAGGTGTGATGGATGTGGCCTGGCTAGGGGTCAATGCCTGGATGGCCTCATCTCCAGGGAATTTGGAGGCAGGAAGAGGAAGTGGGGCAGGAAGGTAGCACTGAGCTCTGAGGCCATGCCGGGAAGCTGAGGAAGGCTCTGAGAATAGGGCAGAGCCAAGAGCCCACTTCAGGGTGTGCAGGGCAAGGGGTCAGGCAGGGGTAGGGGTGGGCTTCAGTCGGCCCTTAGCTCTTGGGGAGAAGCTCCTGAAGTGAAAGGTGAAGGCAGGATAATTTATTGGGGGAAAAGGGTACTGGGAAACCTGGGGATTCTCACGGGTACATTTGAGGCAGTCTGTGGAGGAGAGCCTAGGGAGGTTGCTCCTCCACCCATCCATCTCCTAGCCTCTTCCTGTTTCTTCTTTCACTATTGCCCCTTTCTCACCCTAGCGCTTTCCCTTCCTTCCACCCATCCCCTTTCCCTCCCTGGTCCTTCTTCCTTTTACTTTTCTTTTATTCTCTATGACTCATTCAACCAACAAGGATTTCTTGGGCATGTCCTTCATGCCAGCATGGTGACAAGTATAGGGGACAGAGCAGGAACAAAGTAGGATAGGAAAGCTGGAAATGGAATGAGTAATTACCTGAATTCATTAATCTTGTAGATGATCCTCTCTCCAAAGAATGTGTGTGTTGAGCCACGGGCCTCCCTCATATGCACACAAATTAAGTTGGTAGCATCAAAAGGTTTGGTGGTTCTTTAGCCAGTCAGCTAAAGTGTTTGACCTCCTTGTACCTGTATCTAATTTAGCACACCGGTTATGAATGTGATGCCTGGAGTCTGTGTTGGTTCAACTCCCAGATCTACTTACTGGCTCTGTGATCTTATACAGGTGATTTAACACCTCTGAGCCAAAGTTTCCTATAAAACTGGGAAAAGGCCAGGCGCAGTGGCTCACACCTGTAATCCCAGCACTTTGGGAGGCCAAGGCGGGCAGATCACAAGGTCGAGAGTTCAAGACCAGCCTGGCAAGGATGGTGAAACCCTGTCTCTACTAAAAATATAAAAAAATAGCTGGGTGTGGTGGCACGTGCCTGTAGTCCCAACTACTCGGGAGGCTGAGGCAGGAGACTCACTTGAACCCGGGAGGTGGAGGTTGCAGTGAGCTGAGATCATGCCATTGCACTCCAGCCTGGGTGACAGAATTAAGACTGTGTCTCAAAACAAAAACAAACAAGCAAACAAAATAACTGGGTTAATAATATGGTCTTCAATGGGTTGTTGGGTGAAGATTAAATGAGGCAGAGCAAATGAACAGCAAGCAGCATAATGCTTAGCTCAGAGTATATGCCCATTGAATGGTGGCTGTTATTCTTGCTCAAGATGTAAAACCTCAACAGCCTGCAGTGCTAGATGAAAATAAACTAGATACTGGTTACCAAAGGCCCATGTAAAGTTCTGAGCTATGGGTTAGAAACAATTATGTGTACTATGTGTACAAGTTTGCCATAGGGAAGAGCTTGCTTGGCTGTGCATTTTGTAAAACGAAGAGGTTTTATTGACCACATGTATTACACAATTTTTTTTTTTTTTTTTGGAGATAGAGCCTCGCTCTGCATCCAGGCTGGAGTGCAGCAGCACAATCTAGCTCACTGCAACCTCCGCCTCCCAAGTTCAAGTGATTCTCCTGCCTCAGCCTCCCAAGTAGCTGGGATTACGGGTGCCTGCCACCACGCCTGGCTAATTTTTGTATTTTTAGTAGAGACGGGGTTTCACCATATTGGCCAGACTGGTCTCGGACTCCTGACCTTGTGATCTGCCCGCCTCGGCCTCCCAAAGTGCTGGGATTCCAGGCGTGAGCCACCACGCCTGGCCATATTGTACAATTCTTGAGATCTGACTGCTAAAACAAAAACAAAAACAAAAACAAAACGGAGCTAGGGAAATGTGGGCCACATCAATAATAATAGCCCTTATTTATTGAGCATTTAGTATGTGCCAGGTGTTGTGCTAAGCTTTTGATTTACATCACAAATGAATATGTCACATAATCCTTAGCTAACATTGTAAGAGAAGTCATTATTATCAGCACTTTACAGGAGAGGAAGTGGAGGTCAGAAAGGTCATATCCTCAGTCTCAGTCACTCAGCTAGTGAGTGGCAGAAGCAGGATTTCAACAGAGGGGTGCAAAGCAGAGCTCTACTCCTAGTCTCTGAGCTGAGTGCTGACTTAGGGAGGCGATGTTATACCAGTACTTGCGCCCATTTATCTGACGACAGTTAGAACAGGGTTTCTTGGATACTAGACAGGAGACAGGGAGACAAGGAGAGTTAGGATAGGGAGGTTTTTTTTGGTTTTGTTTCTTTGTGTTTTTTGAGACAGGGTCTCACTCCTTCGCCCAGGCTGGAGTGCAGTGGTGCAATCTTGGCTCACTGCAGCCTCTGCCTCCCAGGTTCAAGCAATTCTCCTGCCTCAGCCTCCCGAGTAGCTGGGACTACGGGCAGGCACCACTTTGCCCGGCTAATTTTTGTATTTTTTGGTAGAGGCGTGATCCGCCCACCTTGGCTTCCCAAAGTCCAGGGATTACAGGCATGAGCCACCATGCCTGGCCCAGATGGTGTGGTTTTGAGAACTGCATTTTCAAAGCAGGAATCAAAGAGATTGAGCCCAGAAAAACCTGAAGGGTTGAGTGTCATAGAGGGGATATTCTGTATAGGGGGCAACAGTCTGTCAAGAACATTTCCTGTGTAACTGCCACTCTCTGGCAATGACACAACTGCTCCCCGCTTGCTCTGGCTCAAAATTCCAAGCCCTGCAGGCTTCTGGCCTCAGGTCTCAGAAATGCCTCTCTCACCCTTCTTCTTCCTTTCTCCACGCTCTGCTCGTCACCTCTCTCTGTCCTGGTGGGCATCTCCTCACAGCCTTGCTGATGGTACTTCTCCACCCCTCTGGCTGGCCTCTCTGCCGTTTTCTTACTTCTATCCGTGCCTGTCTACCACCAACAGAGAAATTATCCTGAAGCACTTCTTGACTGTCACCCTTGACTCAAAAACCCACACTAGCTCTTAAGTTTTATCACTCACTTGGAGCCAGTCTTCTCTACCTGACCTTTTCTGCCTTCTGTAGCCCCACCCTGTCCCGCCCATCCTCTGCCTGGTCCTCACTGTCAGAATGTATCCCTATCTCTCAGTGCCAGAATGTCCCAGCTCCATGCCATCCTTCAAGGGGTCACCCCCCGCAATGGCACCCTCTCTGTGGCAGCTCCGACACTTACTATCTGTATCACACAGTGTAACTCTTTCCTCTTCTCTAATTGTATTACATATGTATTTTCCCCAGGGCAAAGTGGTCTCTTTAAGAATAGGCACAGTTAGGCCGGGCATGATGGTTCATGCCTGTAATCCCAGCACTTTGGGAGGCTGAGGTGGGATGACTGCTTGAGCCCAGGAGTTCAAGACCATCCTGGGCAACATAGAAAGACCCCATCTTTAAAAATATAGGCACAATTCATTCAGGAACTGTTTATCACGTATCTGCTGTCTGCGGACATTATGCTGAGTTACCGTGTGGCATAAGGCAGTGTGACCCTTGTCCTCTTGCTTTCCTCCTTCCAGGGTCCCTGGAGCTTTGTTTCTCACTGTGCTAGCAGAGACCTGTGGATATAGGCAGGGTCCTTTTTCCTCTGGTTGAGTGGGGGCCAAAGAGGGCCCGAGACTTGAGTCTAAGGCCTCTGTGTTCCCTGGAGTGAATGTGTTCTTTTAGGCCTGGGTCCATCTTGGCTCCAGGCAGGCCTGGCTTTGCATTGGGGGAGACTGGTCCAGATTACAGCTGGAAGCACAGCCAGCCCTCTGGAGAATGTGACCCAAATATCACCCCTTGCTGAAGAATAAGGTAACAACAGCTGTAGCATTTAGAATATGTATATATAAAAAAAGATAATATCCAGTATTTTCCCTGTCTCTAGCAGTGACTCTTATTTTCGAGTCTTTATCCATTCTCAAGTTTTTGCTTTGGACTATTTCTTTTTATTTTTTTATTTTTATTTTTTGAGATGGAGTCTCACCCTGTTGCCCAGGCTGGAGTGCAGTGGCGCAATCTCAGCTCACTGAAAGCTCCACTTCCCGGGTTCACACCATTCTCCTGCCTCAGCCTCCCGAGTAGCTGTGACTACAGGCACCCGCCACTACGCCCAGCTAATTTTTGTATTTTTTAGTAGAGACGGGGTTTCACCATGTTAGCCAGGATGGTCTCGATCTCCTGACCTCGTGATCTGCCTGCCTCGGCCTCCCAAAGTGCTGGGATTACAGGTGTGAGCCACCGCGCCTGGCCTTGGACTATTTAATTTTATTTTTTGCTTTGTTTTGTTTTGTTTGCTGAGACGGAGTCTTGCTCTGTTGCCCAGGCTGGAATGCAGTGGTGTGATCTCGGCTCACTGCAACCTCCACCACCCAGGTTCAAGCGATTCTCCCACCTCAGCCTCCCAAGTAGCTGGGATTACAGGCACGCACCACCATGCCTGGCTAATTTTTGTATTTTTAGTAGAGACAGGGGGTTTCACTATGTTGGCTGGGCTGGTCTCGAACTCCTGGCCTCAAGTGATCTGCCTGCCTCAGGCTCCCAAAGTGCTGGGATTACAGGCGTGAGCCACTGTGCCCAGCCTGCCTTGGAGTATTTGAATGTGGGGAAGTTCAAAGGATTGAATGACAGAGACTTGTTGAATGCTATAGTAGTAATAATAGTGATGATGGTTGACTCAAGAAAAGGTGAGAGTGCAGTTTCCCTGCTCTCTTCGTTGTTCCTCTGTGTTTCCTGCTTACTGCTTCCTCCAGCCTATGAGTGCACCCTCCCCTACAGTGGTTTGCCTGACCTCTCTTGAAGCAGGTTGCTTTTCTAGCTCGTGGGTAAATATTGACCTATTTGGGTTTCAAATGCCTGCCCCTCGAAACTCATGCAGGGCTAGAAAAACATGCTGGGAGAACATCTCTTGAGAATAAGAGTTGCTTTTGGTTAGGCTGTATCGTAATTGGCCCACTCACTGAGTCCTTGCTTGCAATGGTCAGCACTGTGCTGGCCTCCTGGTGGGATGGTGGTGGACAAAGGCAGGGCACTGCTCCCTGCCCTCCCTCTGGGAGTTTGTGGTCCAGCTGGGGAGATAGGACTCATACACTGGGAATTCTTGGAGGCTGTGTACCAAGCAGCTGCAAGGAACCTAAAGGAGAATTCTTGCCTGAGTAGGAGGTGGCCCTCTGTGACCACCAGATCTCTTCTAACACTTAAGTTTTCTGGTTTTAAGTGGAATTCAGTCAAGTGCCAAAATGTCTGTTGTAGACAATGGGTAACGTGGGCTGGCAGAAAACGAAGCTTGCCCTTCTTGTAAGGAGGGGAAGGGAACAGGGATGGGCTGTGGGGAACTAGGCTAAGAGGAAGGAGTTTCTGTGGTTTGCTAATCCACTGGTATTCATCTCCCTGAAATGTCCCTGCTCCTAGGCTTCTGGCTTATACTAGGGCCTCCTGCTTGGGGTCTCTGTTACGTGCACCCAAAGCCCAGTGCCTTTCTTGCACATGACCCAGATTTTCTCTCTCCCCTGTCGTTTCAACCTTCCCCAGCTTGGATCCAAGACCTCCCTTCCCAGTCCTCTGAAATGAGCTGGGAAGGGAGGCAAAGCTGCCGCCCAAGCCGGGAAATCTAAGAGTTGGTCTCATCTCTGTAAGTTGGACCCCAGTGAGGACCCCAGCTGACTGGAAGGCTGGAGGCCAGGGGCTGGTACCACTGACGTTCCCAGGCAGAGAGGGAAGTTGGGGCAGTGATACAGGGAGCAGGATCAGGCCAGGAGGCAGAACTGGCCTGACCAGTCAGAGGCCCAAGGAGGGAGATCTGAGCTTCTCAGTTTGGGGCGAGAGGGGTTAGGCAAAGACTATGATGTGTGCTGCTTCAAGATTACCTTTCTAGCCTGTAGGGTAGGTCTCCTCCCTGTGTGTTCCAGCCAGGTAGCTTGGCTACCCATTCTTTGCTGCCTTCTTAGGCCAGTGGGAAACCTTAGGGCAGCTGTGCATTATTGGGTAGAGGCCATTCTGAAGCAGGTGAGAAAAGAATCGGCTTTGTGGGAGGGTGGGGTCCTGGGAAGATCCCACCTTGGGACAGCTTAGAGGAAGCTGAGGTGCTGGAAGCCAGGGCCGACCTAGGTCCTAGGTCACCCTGCCTTGATGTGCAAGGGGAGGAGCCTGTGAGACCTAAGGTATGCTGCACTCACCCCGAAGGCCAGCCCTTCACTCCACACACATCACACCCTTACACGAAGGATGCTGTTACTCTTATGCTGTACCCACCTACAGGGGGAGAAGGAGGCTTCTAGATCTCAGGGGCAGATGAGGGTCAGGTGGGGGCCTCATGCATCCCTGACCTCGGGCTTGGTGCCCAGGCAGGAAAAGAGTTGGAGCGGTGCCAGCGGCAGGCGAACGAGGTGACGGAAATTATGCTTAACAACTTCGACAAGGTCCTGGAGCGTGATGGGAAGCTGGCCGAACTGGAGCAGCGTTCAGAGCAACTCCTGGATATGGTGTGAGGCCTGGGGGAGCATGGAGGGGAGGGGAGAGGATTGGGAAAGGCTCTTTTGGGCTGTATTCAGGATCTCCAGGTCATTGGTGGGGTTGAGGCCTTACTCAGGGCCAGTGTGGGGCCTCTGGGTTTCCTCAGGCACCCATAGCCTAGACATGCAACAGACCCCACAAAATAAGGCGGCCTTGGTTTGAAGCTGTGGACCTTCCTAAAGATAGAAGACTGGCATTGTTTTTTGTTTCTTTTTTACTTTGAGACAGGGTCTCACTCTGTTGCCCAGGCTAGTACAGTGACTTAATCACATCTGCTGCAGCCTCTACCTCCCAGGCTCAAGCGATCCTCCTGCCTCAGCCTCCTGAGGAGCTAGGACTATAAGCATGCACCGCCGTGCCTGGCTGATTTTTGATTTTTTGTAGAGATGAGGTCTCACCATGTTGCTCAGGCTGGTCTTGAAGTCCTAGATACAAGAGATCCTCCCACCTCGGCTTCCCAAAGTGCTGGGATTACAGGCATGAACCACTGTGTCCAGCCTGAGTACTGGCATTGTTAACAGAGGGTGAGACACTAGGGCTGAAAGTCAAGGGGCCACACTGGTGTTTGAGATGAGTCAGGTGGGGAGGGTTCCACGGCAGGTGGTATAGAAAGAGAGCAGACAAGGCCGGGCACGGTGGCTCATGCCTGTAATCCCAGCACTTTGGGAGGCCGAGGCGGGTGGATCACGAGGTCAGGAGTTCAAGACCAGCCTGGCCAACATGGTGAAACCCTGTCTCAACTAAAAATACAAAAATTAGCTGGGTGCAGTGGTATGTGCCTGTAGTCCCAGCTACTAGGGAGGCTGAGACAGGAGAATTTCTTGAATTCTCCTGTGAGCTGAGATTGTGCCACTGTACTCCAGCCTGGGTGACAGGGAGAGACTCCATCTCAAACAAAACAAAAAACAAAGAAAGAAAGAAAGAAAAAAAAACAAGAAAGAAAGCAGACAAGATGGGGAGGATGCAGGAGGAGACTAAGCCTTACTGAGATGGGACTGGGAGGAGCTGGCTCCCAGGCAAAGGGGGTGCCAGCTAACTCTCACTTTGTGTCTGGGGGTATCCGCAGAGCTCAACCTTCAGCAAGACTACAAAGACCCTGGCCCAGAAGAAGCGCTGGGAGAACATCCGTAGCCGGGTCTGCTTGGGGCTGGTGGTGGTCGGTGGCCTGCTCATCATCCTGATTGTGCTGCTGGCCGTCTTTCTCCCTCAGAGCAGTGACAGCAGTAGTGCCCCACGGACCCAGGATGCAGGCACTGCCTCAGGGCCTGGGGACTGACCCAGCTGGTCCTGAAGCAGAAGTCAAACGGCTGCACTGGCCGGTTCTGGTCTCCAGAGGACCTTGGTGTTTGCTCTCCCTTGACCCACCCCAGTGAGTGCCAAAGGGCAGCCCCAACATGTGCACCCCTGCATTTCCTGTCATGCCACAGACTGGCCCTCGAGGGCAGCCTGCTGTACTGGCCATGCTGGGCCAGCCCTACCTGGAGCTCAGTAAAAGCTGCTGTTTGATTAAAAGCTGGTATCTGTGTGTGAAGGTCCCCAGTTTGGTTAATCCCATCTGTCTCTACCCCTTGGGCTCCTTAGAAAGCCCATCACCCAAAGGACTCCACCCCTGGGAGATGGCTCCTTCCTCTCCCTTCCCTACTTGATCCAACCCTACACAGACCGGGAGTGTGGGTGCAAGAATACAATGGCCCCCAAACCAGACCCTTGAACCAGTCTTCCCCATCTGAGCCTGTTTCTCTGAGAATGAAATCTATTATTTTTCTGTCATCTTAATCTATTATTTTTCTGTCATCTTGGGGATGCTTAGAGGACCAATGAGACTGTAGATGGGATGACAAAGAAAAAAGCACTTCAATAATTTTTTTTTTTTTTTTTTTTTGAGATGGAGTTTTTGCTCTGTTGCCCAGGCTGGAGTGCAATGGCACGATCTCAACTCACTGCAACCTCTACCTCCTGGGTTCAACCTCTACCTCCTGGGTTCTCCTGCCTAAGCCTCCTAAGTAGCTGGGATTACAGGCGCCCGCCACCACGCCCGGCTAATTTTTTTATTTTTATTTTTGTATTTTTAGTAGAGACGGGGTTTGACCATGTTAGCCAGGATGGTCTCGATCTCCTGACCTCGTGATCCGCCCGTCTCAGCCTCCCAAAGTGCTGGGATTACAGGCTTGAGCCACCAAGCCCGGCCAAGAGTGCAGTGGTTCTTAAACCTGCTTCACCTGCAGAATTTATACAAGTGCCATTGCCCAGGCCCCACCACAGATCAGTTAAATCAGATTCTTGGAAGGTATCGTACACGGGTGTTTCTAAAGCTCCTCCGCGCCCATTCTCTCCTCTGGGAATTCATATGTAGCCAGGAATGAAAAGGTCTTAGTACAAGCCACTAGTTTTACAGAAGCTAGGGATAGCAATGGGCTGAAGGTAACAGTCCCATGAGCTGGTTGAGGCCCCAGGTTCTCTGGCAGAGAGACCTCTCTCTCTCGGTTGGGGAGGCTTGTCCCACCCTTTATTATTATGCCTAACACATAAGAAATGTGCAGGAATTTTTTTTTTTCGGGGGTTGGGGAGGAATCAAACGCAAACTCTTGAACCAACTAGAGCGCCGCGGGGCAGAAGTGTCCGGCGGGGATCTCGACAGCGCATCGGGAAGCGCCATGGCCCAACGCTCGCAGGAACCTGAACTCCTGGGCCAGCGCCGCCTTTTCTCGCAGAGGCCTCTAGCATCTGCACAGTCGAAGCCCTCTGAGCCTCAGGGCAGATTGAGGACCCTAACAGACCAAACATTTGGACGCGACCGCGCCAGAAATTCCAGGGAATTCAGTGTTGGCTCCGATTCCAAAACAAAAGTTTCCTCACCAGCCGGATCTCCGTCATTGGCGTTGGTCTCTGGTCACCTGCCTTATTCAAGCCAATGAGAGGGGGCCGAATTAGTACTTCCGCTTTCCGTGAGGTTTAACGAGCCACTATGCCCGTCCCTCGGATACTCTGATTGGCCAGCCTCTCTCAGCTCCTCAGTTTATTGGGCAGCGCCGCTAGACCACTATCGAGCCGGGTGAGAGGGCTGTGTCAGGAGGTTGGGCAGCCATGGCGTCCTATTTCGATGAACACGACTGCGAGCCGTCTGACCCCGAGCAGGAGACGCGAACCAACATGCTGCTGGAGCTCGCAAGGTGGGTGCGCGGGGTTTGGGGATGGGGTCCAGCTCGCAGGTTTCTGGGCTGGGGCTGGCTGGAGAAGACGGATTACCAGGGGCAGTGGATTCTGGGGAGGACAGATGAGTAATCTGGAGTTAGTCCGGGCGGCGAGACTGAGGGGTGTGGGAATGAGCATCTCGATAATTTGGGCCGTCCGTTGGGCTGGCCTGGGCAAGGGGATTGCGGGAAAGATTGGAGCTGGAGAGTGGTGGGCGTGGGAGCGGAAGTTGAGGCATGGGGGCGGGGTTGGGGCCGTGTGCTGTGAGTGGGTATATTCATCAGGAATAGTAGGTACTGCTGACTTGGAATCTGGCTCTACCAGGTTATTCAGCGTGGCCTGAGTAACTTCTCTGAGCCTGTTGCCTCATTTGTAAAATGGGAATAAACACTTTACGTGCTGGAGCGGTCTGATAGCAGCTGTAAACTTTCCCATCGTGTTTTTTATCTAGTGAGCATCTACTAACTACTAAGGGTAGCTATTATTCCTACTAGCTGGGCAGGGTGTTTATTAATGTCCAGTGGATTATGGGGGTCAAAGAAAAAGCATAGTTTTCCTTTGTTCTGACTTTACATTTGTACCTGACTTCCCCAGGTCACTTTTCAATAGGATGGACTTTGAAGACTTGGGGTTGGTAGTAGATTGGGACCACCACCTGCCTCCACCAGCTGCCAAGAATGTGGTTGAGAACCTCCCCAGGACAGTCATCAGAGGCTCTCAGGCTGGTGAGGACACTAATTCTTTCTGCTATTTGGGCCAGACCCACCTCTTCCCCAAGCCAGACTGTGGTCTGGGTCCTTCAGTTTTCCAGGTCAGGTGGGGGCAAGTATCCTTCAGGAGTGGGAGCTTGGGAGGCACAGCCTGTAGCAGCTCTCCTGACCAGCGCTCCTTCCTAAAGAGCTCAAGTGCCCCGTGTGTCTTTTGGAATTTGAGGAGGAGGAGACTGCCATTGAGATGCCTTGCCATCACCTTTTCCATTCCAGCTGCATTCTGCCCTGGCTAAGCAAGGTACTGCTTCTCTTCTTCCAGCTCTCACCCTGCCCTGGGCCCAGCACTCAAGCTGCTTTCTGTTCATGGACTGCTGGGGGACTGAAGAAAGAGTGGCAGTTGGGAACAGGGGAGGGTGGTTATCAGCTTATGAAGATCAGACCAAGGCTAGAACACTGCTCTACTTTTCTCAGACAAATTCCTGTCCCTTGTGCCGCCATGAGCTGCCCACTGATGACGACACTTATGAGGAGCACAGACGAGATAAGGTAGGGGCTGATGGTTAAGTGGAGGGGTCGTAATGGACTCCCCCTCAGTCCTGTCCCCCCGCTGCCTTCACTTCCCACCTCAGCAGGATTGGGTAGGCCTCAGAATCCCTGGCTCCGGCTGCCTTGTTAGTGACTTTGATTTGTGGTAAGAGCCTAAGCAGTGCAGATGCCAGAGAGAGTCAGCCCCATGATAGCTTCCCATCCCCTCACCCATAGGCCTTCAGTTTGGGCCCCCGCCCAGAGTGCCTTCTTTCCTTTAGGCTCGAAAACAGCAGCAGCAACACCGACTGGAGAACCTCCATGGAGCCATGTACACGTGAGGAGGCTGGGGCTGAGTGCTGGCCCTCTGCGTCTTCCTTACTAACCTTGAATCCTCATTAAAGGCTTCTTTACCCACCCTGAGGCTGTATTGATCACAGACCTGGCCAGGGGCTCTGCATCCTCCATCAGGTCTCTACTCCTGTTGGGGAACGTGATCCTAAACCACAGAAAGCACCAGGCTGCGGTTTTCCTCCCTGCTGGCCCATCTGGACTCATGGCAGTGGTAAAGAACTGGATTACTGCATCAGCCAGGGCTTGGGCCTATGTGTTCATGGTTGGAAGGCAAAATGTGCCAGGGTCTGGTACCCAATTAATTACTTAAAGCTGATAAACTAGGCTGGGTGCAGTGGCTCACGCATATAATCTCAGCAGTTTGGGAGGCCAAGGCAGGTGGATCACGAGGTCAGGAGTTCGAGACCATCCTGGCTAACATGGTGAAACCCTGTTTCTACTAAAAATACAAAAATTAGTTGGGCGTGGTGGCACACACCTGTAATCCCAGCTACCTGGGAGGCTGAGGCAGGATAATTGCTTGAACCTGGGAGGCAGAGGGTGCAGTGAGCTGAGATCATGCCATTGCACTCCAGCCTGAGCAATAAGAGCAAAACTGTCTCTCAAAAAAAAAAAAAAAAAAAAAAAAGCTGATAAACTAGCCTGCACCCTCCTCCTACTGCAATGTCTAGTTAACTTTGTAATCCCAGAGGTTTTCTTTCTCTCCACTGAGAAAGCCACGTTTAATATTTTAAAGTTGCTCTCTGTACCACCCCCACCTTCCCCCCATGCCTCCTAAGGAATCAAAGTTCAAAGCAGACTCTGAGTGGGGGATGGGTGAGATGATCAGACCAAGGCAGTTCTTTAGATTGCTTAGAGGCCCAGAAGGGTTTCAAGCCCTTTGAAGGGGTATTTGGATGGCACCTGGCATCCTTTGTTTCTGGCAACAGAGTGCACTCAGCACTCTCCTGGGGGCAAGGGCTTGCCCTCCTTGGCTTATCGAAAGCCATCCCAGATCAGGCCCCCCGACTCTCCAGAACAGACTACAAACATGCAAATTAGAATCCTTTTAATATAAAAAAAAAAAGTACTAAAATACCCACGTGGTTCTGCTGTGTTATTTGCCCTAACGGAAGTGAGGGGCAGAGTGAAGAATCCCAGTGCAGCTCAGTGGGCCCAGAAATGGGCCTTTCCGTAGGCTAAGGCGTGCCCACTCCACCTCCACCAGACTTCTATCCCCTCTGCTGTTCCCAGCCCCCAATTCCTGCAGCAGGAAACCCCAGTGGTCTGGCTTTGGCACTGGGAGTAGAAGGCACCTGAAGGGCTGGCTGGGTGAGTGAGGACAGGTGACCTTTAAAAACAAAACAACACTGTGGGGTGGGGAAGCAGGTCATGCAGCTATGGCAGCTGGCAGGGCCCACTCCTCTATGGCACAGGTGGACATGGGATGGCCACTTCTCCAGAAGTGAGGAAGCCCGGATCCCAACAGAATACTTTCTCAAAATTGTTTTTGGTACAAAATAAATGCAAAGAAGATATGGGGTGGGGTGCTGCAGAGGCCGGGCCAGCCACCCTCCCCAGACCTTAGATCATAGCGATGCTCTCGGGGGCACAGTTGAGGTGGGTGGAGGTGCTGCTGCTCCCGGAGGACTTGCAGGCCCGGCCAGGGGTAGGCTGCAATGCAGCCACCAGTGTGTCTGAGGAGACTGCCCCAAACTCATAGCTGAAGGTGCCATAGAAAATGAGGATATCGATGACACACACCCACTCACACAGGGCTGCCCCATGTTGCAGCTGAGAACTCTCATGGACAAAGAAGACTCCACCTGAAATGGGGCTAAGGAAATGTTCAGTAGGACGTATGGAAACCTGGCAACACCCCTTCTGCAGTCTCAGGCCTCACCTCTCCAAAGGGAGAGGTGTTAGGCCTCTCCCCCACATGGCAGTGTTAGGCCGCCATCCCCCATCCTCTTGGGAGGGAGAAAGGTTGAGCTAGAGGATGAGTTCCCGGCTGCCCCGTCCTGAAAGGATACTGAGGACCAGGGTGATAAAGGCGATGACAGCCAGCACACTTCGCAGATAGGCCACAGCCAGGTCCAGTGGGGCGGTGGCCCCTTGGTAGGAGAGAGCACAGTGCAGGCAGACAAAGAGCAGCCCCGCAGGGAAGGCCACACCAGCTCCAACGTAGTGCAGAGACCTGGCATGATCCACCTGGGCCCAGAGAAGGGCCAGTTGGTGATGTGGCCATTGGCCCCGACCCTCCACCCCTCCTTCAGTGAATCTCCTCTCTCCCTCTTCCTTCCTCCCCCTCCTTTCTCATTCCCTCCTTCCAGCCCCAACCTTGAGGTGCCACCCTACAGGCAGCCAGGTCTTGTTAGGTAAAGTTCAAGGTTTGCGGGGGAGAAGGGGAAGCACCTGAAAGTTGCCAACCACCAAGAGGCCCGCGGCGTTGGTGCAGCCTGAGATGAGTGCTGTGGTGTTAACCCAAGAGTGCCTACTCTGCTCCAGGAGCTGCCCGTAGCGCAGGAGGCAGATCAGGGCCACTGGGGGAGGAGAGCACAGTTGAGGCCTTCCTCCAGCCTTGGCCCTGCCCAGTGAGCCTGTCAGCTTCCTCCAGACTCTGTGGTGCTCCTGCCCCTCAGAATGGACAGGCGGGTGGTGAACTAGGTTTCCTTAGGCTCCAGCCAGCAGGGTGGCTGTGTGGGAGTCAGCTTTTGGCCTTCAAGGAAGGGGAGAGATGTTGCTTCTATTGCCTCAGCCTTTGGTGGGGAGGGCTGCACAGAGGAAGGGCTTCCTGGGCCTTTCTGTGTTGGGGGCACTGGGCTGGGCAGGCAGGGTCAGGGCTAAGGGTACAACTCACCCATGAAAGCACCCATGTTGCCAATGAGGCTGAAGAGGCAGCTTTCTGGGGGATAGGAGCCGCACTTGCTGCGAGGAGGGGGAAGGACAAAGTAAGAGGGCGGCAGGAGGCCCAGGGGGCCCCCATTCTGGCTCACTGGCTCTCCCCTCGTTTACCTGCACCTGCTCCTTAGCAGGCAGGCCACTGATTTATGTGAAAAGCCAGGGTCCCTCATGAACAACTGGTTCCAGGCTGGGCCCCCAAAGCACAGCTCGTGTGTGAGAGAGAAGGGAGTGCCCAGGAGTGTTCAGGCAACCCTGACACTCTTTGCTGAACCCTGCAGCTGGTTTGGCTATCCTTGAGCCAGAACACGGGCTGGGCAATCGGAGGGCTTGAGCTTAAATCCAGGTGCCTCCACTTATTAGCTGTGTAACCTGGATGAGTAAGACTGAGCCTGTTTTCTCACCTATAAAATGGTGAAAACCAGAGCTGCCTCACTCCTGGGAAGATGAAAAGAGACAATGCATATAAAGCGCTCAGCAGAGTGCCTGCCCCATAGTAACTGGCAAGTAGTGTTGTTATGAAGTGGCTCTTAGGATACTTATTATTCCTGAGACCCAAGGACAGCTCTTTGCTTGAGGGTCTGTCTGGGAGGACCTCGGATCTCCCCCTGCCCAATATCTAGGCCTTACCTGATGAGGGGGACATTGTCCAGGGTGCAGCAGGTCTTGGGGCCCCCTTGCTCAGCAGGGTCAGGAGGGCAGGACTCGTTGTAGGACCTGGCAGGCAGGACAGGGAGTAGACTGGGGGAAGGGACTGCCCCCAGTCCCTTGGCCTATAGCCTCAGGCCTCAAAGAGGACTCTCTCCCAGACCTCCCCCACAGGGACAGAAGATCACACTCCCCAGTGCTGGCCTGAAGCAGTAACCAAAGGGGCAAAGGGATGGTGGGAAGTGCGTAGGCATGAAGTCATGCCTGGGGACCAATTTCAGAGAAGAGCAGTGAGGCTCTGGGTTGCAGTCTGGCTCGTGGCACCCTCGGGCCCAAGAGGGGACAGAGATGAAGGAAACTTTAGAGCGAGGCTGTCTGCAGAGTCCTTCATACCAGTTCTCCACGGGACATACATGGTGGTTCATCACAGCCATGGCATACCTGTGGGAACAGAACTGTCACCCTGGCCAGCCTTCCTGAGCTCCCCATCAACCCACCCCACGACCCTTCTCTTCAACCTTGATTTCTGGCCTCATTCAGCCTCATTATTGTTCCTGGGGACTCAAGTTGGGGTCCCTGAGGCTTGATGCCATACCAGCACCTGCAGCATGTCCCCCAGCTAGAGGCCCCCTGGAGATTGCCCTGGCTAGAAGTATATTTGTCAGGGCCACCCTGCTGGACAGCAGTTTTGCCAGCTTGTCCCAAGGGGCTGTGTGCCCAGGCACCAGGCCAGGCTTTTGAGACAGCCAGAGTGACCCTGGGTACCACCCTGAAGCCTACAACAGGACAAGGGACTTTGTGTGCATCATCAAGCTCCTGTTGCCCCCGCACCCCACTTTACTCACACAGTCCATATGCCAGTAATGGAGAACGCTGACAGGCTGACAGGCAGGAGGATCCAGGCGGTCATGAGGGAGGGGAGCCAGGGTGGTGGTGGTGTGGGGGGGAGGACAAGAGGTAGATGGGGAAGTGGGGGCGGACCAGCTACCTTGAGATGTTTCTGCCACAACCATCAGCTGCCCTGGCCTGGTGGAGAGAGAGCAAAGTCCAGGAGTGGGTAACTGGCCGGGAAGGGGGAGGGGAAGGGGGTCAACACCTTATCCAGGGCTCCCGTTGGGTCTCTGAGCGTCCAAAGTTTGGGCTGAGCCCAAGGCAGAACGTGGACACCCTCTGGCATTGGGGGCCTCCGCGGTCAACCCAAATGCCACCGGCGTGCTGAGAGACGCAGGCGGACCGTAACATCTGGAAGGGAGTTACCCTCCTTCTGAGGGACCAGGGCTGGGAGACGGGCTGGACAACCGAAGAGGCCACGCCAAGGAGAGGCTGGGTGCTGGCCCAGTGGAGCGGTGGCGAGTCAGCGGCGCGCAGGCAACCACCTGACCATCGGCGCCCTGGGCGAGGGGCAGGTTCACGCGA